TGGGACTCGGGAGGCGGATAATAGATGTGGGCGTGGCCAGTCAGAGGCGGTGTTTGCCGATTCTCTGAACTTATCGAAATTTCCGCTACCGGTTCTCCAGAACTGGTCAGAACCTGCTGAATACCACCTCCCCTTATAGACCTCTTAGAAATGGGGTGAGGTCAATAGAGGTTAGCTTGAGGGTAAAGGAGTGGAGGTTAGAGGATGTGACAACAGAGTCAGGTAGTGAGTTCCAGACATTGACCACTCTATTGCTGAAATCGTACTTCCTGCAATCAAGTTTGGAGTGGTTTACATTGAGTATATCTGTTGTGTGCTCTTGTGTTGTTGTGATCAAAGCTGAAATAGTCATTAAGTGGTAAGACATTATAACAGATAATTTTATGTCCAATCTTAGCTGGCGTAGTTCAAGGTTGTCTCAGCCTAGAATCTCAAGTCTGGTGGTGTAGGTAGGGTATTCTGGGCCTTCTAACTGATCCCTACTTGCTTCTCTGCCAGGACATCCCAGTGGGCTGTGAGAGGTATCTGAACTGGGCCCATGCCTTTCTAGTAGTCTACAGCATTGAAAACCGGAAGAGCTTTGAAGGGTCACAGCAGTACCTGGATCTCATTGCTCTCCACTTGAAGAACACGTTCCATGAATCTCCCGTTCTCCTGATAGGGAACAAGCTGGATATGGAACAGTACAGGTAAGGAGGTTAAGAGCTCAACCCAAGGAAGGAAGAGAGAGAGAGATGGCTGTAATAAATGCAGCAACCTAGTCTTCATTGGACTAGGTTATATCTTGAGACCAGACTTTACTCTGGTGTGTTAGATGTACTGAAAAATAAATAGGTAGAAATAGGGAATTCAACCCAGAATATTGCTACCAAGTAAATGTAATCTCTTTTGAGATCTTCTGTGAAGGTTCATGCTATTGCAGCTCTCTTATTCTCATATCCTGTTTTATTATTTTAATCTTCTTACCACTAGATTGGAACATAAGCCTCTCAAAGTCCTACTGGGTTGGAGTGTCCTCTAAGCCTTGTATGATGACCTCTAAACCTTGTAAGATTTAATAGCAATAGCACTTAGACTTATATACTGCTTCATGGGGCTTTCCATCCCTCTCTAAGCGGTTTACAGAGTCAGCGTATTGCCCTGGGTCCTCCTTTTACCCACCTTGGAAGGATGGAAGGCTGAGTCAACCTTGAGCCTGGTGAGATTCGAACAGCCAAATTGCAGGCAGCCAGCAGTCAGCAGAAGTAGCTTGCACTACTGCACTCTAACCACTGTGCCAACGTGGCTCGTGGTATAGTTTAATTTAAGCTAAACTATAGCTTAATTTTCTAGTGCTTTGGATGCGGCAATTAACAGACATGGGCCAGTTCCTTGTGTTGCTTCTTTTCATTGTGGGATGTTCTCTCCTGGTTTCTTCTCCCAGACAGGTCACCAAAGCTGAAGGAATATCTCTTGCCACCAAGTACGGCTCCTCCTTCCATGAAGTCTCGGCATGCCTGGATTTCGAGTGCGTGCAGCACGTTTTCCACGAGGCAGTACGGGAAGTGAGGCGAGAGACGGACAGACCTCTGGCAGTCCGGCCCCTGTTCATCATTGAAGAGAAGCCCTCGGCTCACCTGGTCCCAACCGCCACCATTGCCTCCACCTACAACTCACTCTCCACTGTCAACTACAAAGAGGTCCCTTCCGTTGCCCAAGCGAAGCTGGTCACGGTCAAATCCTCAAGAGCTCAAAGCAAGAGGAAAGCTCCAGCGTTGACTCTGCTGAAGGGGTTTAAGATATTCTAAGCAGGGATTCTGCAAGGCGGTTCCAAGGTAGAACGTGGAACAACCACCACCGTTGTTGGGATGGGTCCTTGAATCCCCAAGCAAAGATGAGACCATTTTGAATATTCCATCTCTTGGCCTTTTCTGCAGCCCAAGTGGCCTTCTAAGAATGCAACAAAGCATTTTGGAAAAGAGGCTACGAATTGACAGTGGACAAACTATGGATGAAGCCACCAGGTGGGGAAGGTGGTTCTAAACTTTTTTAGAACATGTGGAGAACTCTGCCACGTGCTGCTTGTGCAATTGATGGAAGAATCCCATGGAAAGGGTTTGGTCTTTTCATGGGACCGAATAGAGATTTGGGAAGCCAGGGAGGCTGCGACCAGCCAAAGAAATGATTCTACAAGGAGAAGACATAGAACATAGAATATCAGAATTGGAAGGGGCCTTGGAGGTCTTCTAGTACAACCCCCTGCTCAAGTAGGAGACCCTGTACCATTCCAGACAGGTGGCTGTCCAGTCTCTTCTTAAAAGCCTCCAGTGATGGAGCAGCCACAACTTCTGGAGTCAAGTCGTTCCACTGGTTAATTGTTCTCACTGTCAGGAAAAATATCCTTAGTTCCAGGTTGGATCTCTCTTTGATCAGCTTCCATCTGTTGTTTCGGGTGCTTTGGAATTCTGGACATTTGGAAATTCAGACATTCATACCCACCCCATGTTTTGCATGTCCCTAAGTGGTTAAGAAAAACCACACTCCACGTCACCATTTCACCAACATTCTTTTCTTAATGTCTACTTTAAGTTCTCTTCCATCAACCACAGAAGGAGGGTTGGAAAAACAAAACCACAGAATTGTTCAACCTGTGGAAGAAATAATATAAGAGCACTTTGTAGAAACAAAACAAAGGCAGGACAAAGGGGCACAAAATGGGCAAAGCACAAAATGGGCAAATGGACTCAGGAGCACAAGCAAAGTGCACCGATGTGCCAGGGAATACGATTGCGAGCACCAATAACGGGTTTTATGATGATCCCCTTTGCGTTGACAAAATGTAGATTACCTAGATGCACAGCGCCCTCTAGTGTTCCTGGACAGGCAATGAAACATTTTCAGTTCTTTGTCCTTTTTGCTAATTTTTCCTAATCAACTCGAATTGATTAGTCAGAAAATTCTTACTTTTGTGGTAAATGTCAATCGGGCCCAAGCTAATTAGACAAAGCCTAGCTAAAACGACTGTTCATGGACAAATTCCACCAGGGTCAGAAAAGATAAAAGGACACCATATTAAAACACGCAAGGAAGGGAAGCAAGAAAGCTGCCCCAAATTGGGAGGGTCACAGGTGTGGCATGGCAAAAAAAGCCCACCACTGGGGGTGGGGGTGATTCATGGTAACATTGGCATGATCGGGGGGCTGTGTGTGGCATCTTGCAGATTTTAATATACTGTAACCCTAGCAATAGCAATATCACTTAGACTTATATACCGCTTCACAGTGCTTTTTACAGGCCTCTCTTAAGCGATTTACAGAGTCAGCCTGTTGCCCCCCAAAATCTGGGTCCTCATTTTACCCACCTCAGAAGGATGGAAGGCTGAGTCTACCTTGAGCCTGTCAGGATCGAACTGCCAAACTGCAGGCAACTGGCAGGCAGCAGAAGTAACCTGCAATACTGCACTCTAACCACTGTGCCACCACAGCTGTAGACACGTTACTTATTTCCCAATGAATGTATTGCTGGGCATAGCAGAAAAGACGTAGGCACGGTTTTCATGGGAAAGAATGGCATTCTACCACATACAGACAGATCTAGAGTTCTAGGAGCATTGAAAAAGCCTTTTTAAAGGACTTTGGCTTGGACTGGTGGTAAAAATATTCCTCTCGTTTCCTTGGGAGTCGCTGTGCTGCTAACATCACTGTTTGAGTGCTCCTTAGAGAAGAAAAACAACAACTAAAACGTGTTGTTTGATCTACTTCAGCCCTAAAATTAGGAGTAGGGGAGTGTCTATGGAGAGTCTCAGTCATCCAAGTCATGGTTGTCCCAACGGTGCTTTTTCAAGTGGCAACTGGACTTCCTTTGTTTTTCCTTGAAGACGTTTCGTGTCTCAACCAAGAAGCTTCCTCAGCTCTTCAGCTCCTCTTGAAAAAGCACCTTTGGGAGTAGGGGAAGTTACAATCAACCAATATAAATTTAGTCATCGGGCATATATGATCTCAGAAGACATCGGACATCCCTCTTTTTTTCCCCTTCCCTTTTGTTTTTTTACACATATAAAACAGCCTACATCAGTTGGGATAATTGTTCCAAAAAGAATTTGGATGGTTGAAGTGGAGACATCTGGAGAACATCTGCATTCAGCTGAAATCCATCACAAAAAAGACAAAAGAGTCTCTCTGGTTTTCATTAGAAAGATTGGCATTATATTACACAAAGATAGATCTAGAGATGTAGCAGCTTTTAAAAGCCTTTTAATGGACCTTGGCTTACTAGACTGATGGTGAAAATATTAACCCGGTTTCTTTGGAAGTCACAGTGCTGCTCGAATATCATCCAAAGCCCTCATCATAGCCTGGCCTTTGCCCATCCCTTTTCCTTGTTTCCAATTTTGGAGGCTCCCAACCAGGGGTGGGATTCTACCGGTTCAGACCGGTTCTGTAGACCCGGTTGTTATGATTCTGCGCAGTTTGGAAAACCCCTGGCTGGCCATGCCCCTTTCCACCTGCCCCGCCCCTCCCAGTCAGTCTTTATCATGCATGTGTGACATCACACGCGTGCCCAACATCGCTGACTGCGTTCTCCCCCACCCAGTCACTCCTTAAGGTATTTCTCTTTTTCCCCCCCTCCCGATGATCAGCTGTTCTGATGATCAGCTATGCTGGGATCCCCCTCACTGTCTTACTGCTTCGCCCAGGAGGTTTCCCTGAAGCCCAGGAGGCAAAAACCTCGGGGGGGGGGAGTTATTGGGAAAAAAAGCCACTCCTACCTAGTCACATGGCCATGCCCACCTAGCCATGCCCACCTAGCCACGCCCACAGAACCAGTTGTTAAAAAATGTGAATCCCACCTCTGCTCCCAACTGTCTCAAATTATTACCTTCTATAAGGCAGCTAATATTGGCATAACAGAACCACCACAGAAAAGATCCAGAAAGATCCAGATGATCAAATTCCACCTTTTTTTTTAATATGCAATCACAAATGGTCAGTGATAAAATCAAAATCAGGAGACCTTGAACATCTTTCCAGATAATCTGACAGATTTATTTTTTTTGTGGGTTGGCGCAAAATAGCAAAGCAACAACCTTCACACCATATCCTTAATTGGTTCTTGAATTGGCCCTTTTTCTGGGTTCACCCCCTACTCAACCCATTGAGGCAGGTTGACATCAGAGGTCTCCTCACAGATGGTCAAGTCAAGATGGTAACCCAACTGTGCAATTGAAGTTCTGGCTGCTTTGAGGGGCCTGCCACAGCTTTGTTTGACCCCGTGAATGCTCCGGTGACACTACATTAGGGCCCAAAATAAAATTGGTTAACACTAACAGGAACCACCTGAACCAACTGACCAGGCTTAACCTGTTGTGTGAAGGAAGCCACTAGGCCAACCTAGTTCAACGTATCATGTAAAGATAGCTGGTAGATGAATTGTTTGGTGGATTATTGATTTTGTAAAACTCAAAAGCAGTCATTATGTCTTGCTGGCTTTTTGATTCTGCTTAATGAATTTGGCTTTGAAACCCGCATTCCAAAAATGTCAATAGTCCAGAAATCCTCCCAGGTTTCCCAAAGAGCCAAAATATAGACATGAGGTACTATGCTTCTGCTTCGCTGGCATCAGCATACAGGGGTGAGGTTTTCCCATCCTTCCAGCGTACCATCACGTCTCCCGTGGTCAGTGTTTTGGAAAGCAAATTGTCTCCAACTTGATCCGGATTCTCTTTGTTTAGCAACACAAACGCTTGCTTCGCTTCTGCCTCATCCAGCGGGGTGACTTCATAGCCTTCTTTGCGTAAGAGAAAGGCCTTCTGGTTTCTGTGGAGTGGAGAGGAAAAAAACAATGTCTTCTCAACCATCTATTTCCAGACAGGGGTGAGATTCAAAAAATCCCAACAACTGGAACTTCCTGGAGGGCCGTTTTTTTGCCTTCCCAAGGGTCCAGAGGCTTCCCTTGGGCTTCTGGGAGGGCGAAAACGGCCTCCCCGGGCTCTGGAGGCCCCCCTGGAAGCCAGAAACAGGCCCATTTCCAGAAGGGCCGTTTTCCCCCCTCCCAGAGCCTCTGTGGACCCTGCACTTACCTGCATAGAAAATGGGCCACGTGGAGACTCCTGGGAGGGGAGGGACGGGGTGGGTGGGGCCAGCTGGTTGGTTCAAATACTGGTTCAGCGAACCAGATGCAAATTTAACATCCGGTTCACCCAAACCGGTCCAAACCGGTAAAAATCCCATCCCCGTCCACCATATACGATAGCAGGGCAGTTAGTTGGACCTAAGAGTCACTCAAAGTAAGCATGCAAAGACATGAATCCTGCTTGGAGAAACGTTGGGAAACCAAGATGGAATTAACCAGGGCTCACCTAAGCCTGATCACATGACCAATATAATATTGGCTTGTTCTTTGTGTCTATGGAGATTCTCAATCATCCAGGCCATGGTTGTCCCCAAAGTGCTTTTTTTTTCGAAAAGCTACTGGACTTTGGTTTTGTTTTTTGTTTTTTTCATTGAAGATGTTTCACTTCTCATCCAAGGAGCTTAAGAACTGAAGAAGCTTCTTGGATGAGAAGCTAAATGTCTTCAAGGAAAAAAGTATAAAAACAAAGTCCAGTTGCCTTTTGGAAAAAAAAACAACCCATTTCTGGGCTAATCCCTGCAATATTTCAGAAGCAGCTTGCCATTGTTTCCTTCCTAGGGCTGAGAGAAAGTGACTGGCCCAAGGTCACCCAGCTGGCTTCGTGTCCAAGGCAGGACTAGAACTCACAGTCTCCCAGTTTGTAGCCTGGTAGTTTAACCACTACACTAAACCAGTTCAGAAGAAGTTGACCATGCCGACTTTTCTCATCTTCATCAACTTTGAATTGCTCTCAAACTATAATTTTTCATGCTTTCTGGGGAAATAAGTGGTTTGAAGAATAGGTCTATAGTGAAACCTCAAAGGTGTGTTTTTTCCCCAAAAGGAAACTGGATTGTGGCCGAAGCCCACCCACCCCCGCCCCCGAGAATCAAATATTTGGGGGAATATTAAAAGAGGCAGAATATTATATTTCCCCATAGGAGAAATGGAGAAACAGCTTAACACAGGCAGAAAGCAGAACCAACAGCCTCCAGCAGAATAGAATAGAATAGAATAGAATAGAATAGAATAGAATAGAATAGAATAGAATAGAATAGAATAGAATAGAATAGAATAGAATAGAATTTCAGAATAGAATAGAATAGAATAGAATTCTCCATGCAAAGAATAGAAGAATAGAATAGAATAGAATAGAATAGAATAGAATAGAATTAGTTAGACTAGAATAGAATAAATATTGATATTGATATTGAATTAATGAATTGAAATATGAAATGAAAATTTATTTAAAGATTAGTGGAATGGATAATGACTTAAAGTGATATTAGATAAGAAAGTTGAAAATGTAATTATGATTATGTATAAATGTTGTAATCTGGAATCACATTGCTCACATGAAGAGATGTGTAAAAAATAAAAATATTTTTTTTTATTAAAAAATAGCAAAGAATAGAATAGGATAGGATAGGATAGGATAGAATAGAATAAAATAGAATAGAGCTGGAAGGGACCTTGGAGGTCTTCTAGTCCAACCCCCTGCTTAGGCAGGAAAACTTACACCACTTCAGACAAATGGTTATCCAACATCTTTTTTAAAACTTCCAGTGTTGGAGCATTCACAGCTTCTGGAGACAAGTTGTTCCACTGGTTAATTGTTCTAACTGTTGGGAAAGATGCCTGAAATCTTTAGAGATGGAGATTCTGCGCCCATTAAGAAAGACTAGGTCAGCCTATTCACAAACAAAACACCTTCAGCTCCAGTTGATGGGATTAAGAAGGACGGGACTTTTAGGACATGATAGGATTAACCCACCCCCATTAGAATAGCAAAAGACACAAGGCTCACTACATTGCACAACCCCCTGGAGCATCTCAAACACAAAACCCTAAAGAATGTATAAACGCCAACCCATGCCAACCCCATTTTGTCAGCTGCCCCAGAACTACAGGCTGTTCTTGGTTCTGCTCATCAATAAACAGAGAGAACTTTCCAAGCAGCCTCCATTTTACTTCCAGCACCTTTCTCCCAGCTTGGAACTGGACTGGAGTTTTCTTCCAACAATTGTTTTTCCCTTGTGGAAGAGATGCCAATCCTTCCATCGCTCCCACCGTCCTGCCAGAACTGATGCAGCTTCTTGGCTGAGAAACTAAACATCTTCCTCAAGAAAAAAACAGCACAGTTGCCTTTTGAAAAAAAACAACATCTTGGAGACAACCATGACCTGGATGATTGAAAAGTTCCACAGACATCTGCAGCAGAGGTGCTATTCAGCAGGTTCTGACCAGTTCTGGAGAACCAGTAGCAGAAATTTTGAGTAGTTCGGAGAACCGGCAAATCCCAACTCTGACTGGCCCCGCCCCCATCTATTCTCTGCCCCCTGAGTCCCAGCTGATTGGCCGGGTTTTCTTTGGTTGCCCTGCACAGGAGAATGGAGCTGGAAAGCAGGTTAGTGGGGTGGGAAGGGAAGAGAGATTTTACAGTATCCTTCCCCTGCCCCGCCCACCAAGCCACGCCCACAGAACTGGTAATAAAAAAATTTGAATCCCACCACTGGTCTGCAGTGAAAATAAGCAGAGTTGTCCAGATTAGTGCAACTTACCTAACTAAATTATGAAGAGAACTAGCAACTTTATTTGCACAATGTGCAAAGTTTTGCTAGATTTAACCATGGTAGGTTTTGAGCCTTTGATTGTTCCGACATTCTAAGGGGTTTGATTAAGTTGCAATTTAATACACGAGGCAAACTCAGAAAGTGGATTTGTTTAGCCACTAAGGAGTCCTGCATTCAGAGGTAGAGAGACACACCGGGTGCTAAGCCAAGGCCCAATATTATCACTCCAAAAATATGACTTCTTCCTACCTGTTGGCCCTAATATTTGCTCCCAGGAGCACAACACCAATGAGCAGAACGAGAACGGAAAGGACCAGGATAGAATAATTCCATGCAGATGCTGAAAGAGAAAATAATAAGGAATTCATATTGATGTTACTTAGATCAGGAGTCCCCCAAATCCCGGGCCGTTGACCAGCACCGGGCCGTTGACCAGCACCGGGCCGTGGCATGCCAGCAACCGATCCACGCAAACAAGTGAAGCCTCAACAGCGGGATGCAGGCAACATGGAAAACCACACACCCTCCAGTCCACAGAAAAACCTGCTTCCCCGGAACTGGTCCCTGATGCCCAGAAGGTTGGGGCCGCTGAACCAACCTGAGCCATTCTTTCAAACTCAGAGGGCACCACACTTCAACCCTGAGCTACAGAGATCTTTTTCTAGGAGAGTTCCTTCATTTTCACACCTTTTGAAAGTTCCCCACAACTCTTCACTCCAGATCCGAAAGCTGAACTAACAGAGCCTAACCAAGCAAATTCTGCGGTTAAAGCTTTGAAAGAACTTAAGGCAGGGCTGGGCTGCTGGGCAGGGGTGGGATTCAAATTTTTTAACAACCGGTTCTGTGGATGTGGCTTAGGTGGTGGGCGTGGCTTGGTGGTCATGTGACTGGGTGGGCGTGGCCAACTCAACATCACTCACATCAAGGCACGCATCTCCTCGCCTGGCCTCTCATGACTGTGGGGATGCTGCAACAGTCGTAAGTGTGAAAAACGGTCATAAGTCACTTTTTTCAATGCCATTGTAACTTTGAATGGTCACTCCACACAAGCAAAGTACCAGCAAAGGAGGGGAAAAAACCCCCAGAGACGTTCCTGAGACAGGAAGTCTAGTCCTGCCAAGAATGTAATAAGGGTGAACGGAGAGGCAGTTTCTGTAAGCAACACCAGAATGTTTCCTTCCTGCCTTCCTTACAGGATTAGGCCAGTAATTTCTTCTAACAACCGGTTCTCCGAACTGCTTAGAATGTTAACAACCGGTTCTAGTGATTAGGCATGAACTGGTAGAATCCCACCCCTGCTGCCGGGGGTTCAGAGGGGTTTGGGAGATCCTCTAGATAAGATTCTGCACAGTTTGGAAAACCCCAAAATCCCACTCCTGGCTGGCCCCATCCACCCCACCCCTCCCGGGAGTCCCCACGCCGCCTGTTTTGGATGCAGGTAAGTGCAGGGTGCTCGTGGAGACTGGGGAGGGCAAAAAACGGGCCTCCCGGAAGTTCAGGAAGGCCGGAAATGGGCCCATTTCCAGCTTCCAGAGAGCCTCCAGAGCCCAGGGAGGCTGTTTTCGCCCTCCCAGAGGCTCGAGAAAAGCCTCCGGAGCCTGGGGAGGGCAAAAGCGGTCCGCCCCAGCCATGGGGCAGGAGGCCGACTAGGCCATGCCCACCATGACCACGCTTACCCAGCAACCGGGCAGAGACCCTTTGCTAAAATTTTTGAAGCCCACCCCTGACTTACGGTCTTCTCTTCGGAAAAACCACAGCATCTCCTGTAGCATCTCTGGAGATATGGTGTCTTCTGAAGGACTGTCAAGGCCTTCTGAGTCCTCCTGGGGCTGGGAGCTCGCGATAGCCAGGACACCCAGGTCTGTGTTCAAACCTAGGTTAGAAATCAGGAGACTGTGAGTATTGATGGCGCTACTATGGGCAAACATAACATGCCAGCCTAGGCTAAAATGTGACTGGGTAGGATGCAGAGGTGGTATTCGGCCAGTTCTGACAGGTTCTGGAGAACCGGTCGTGGGAATCTTGAGTAGTTTGAAGAACCGTCAAATACCACCTTTGACTGGCCCTGCCCCCATCTATTTTCTGCCTCCCATTGAGTCCCAGCTGATCAGCCGGGTCTTCTTTGGCTGTCCTACTCAGGAGATGGAAAACAGGTTAGTGGGGTGGGGAGGGAATGGGGGTTTTGCAGCAACTTTCCCTTGCCACGCCCACCAAGCCACACCATGCCCACCAAGCCATGCCCACAGAATTGGTAGTAAAAAAAAAATTGAATACCACCACTGGTAGGATGGGGAAACCAGCTGTTACTTCTGCATATTGTTCCAAACAAGCTATCTCTTTAAGACATTATAGGTTTTATTTAATTGAACGTTGCCTGTGGTATCAACAATCAGACTTAGCATTTTGTTGAAACCTGGCAGGCTAAAGTCAGAGTGGTCTGCTTTTGAGCTCTGAATTATCGTTTTAATAAAACTCTCTCCTTCGATAAAGAGCCCTCATGAATCTTATCTAGGATTTATGAGATTCCTACAGTGAAAATGGAGCAACCTTGGCAACAGTACAGCTGGAGGCCCTTCCTGAAAAGCTCTCGCTGTGGGTGAAAGAGAACAGCGGCTTCAGAGACGATCTAGATCAGGGGTGTCCAACCTTGGCAACTTTAAGACTTGTGGACTTCAACTCCCAGAATTCCTCAGCTTGAAAAGAGAAGGAATGCTCTTGTACGTGATCTGAAGGCCTTGGACGGTGCCTCAGATTGAACCAAGGTGTCAGAAATGTTCTGTCGCTCTGTAGACTGCTGAATAGACAGGCTACTGGAATTGGAACATAAGAGGCTCTGGGACAAAGACTAGGGGCCACAGGGAGGAAAGAGAAAGGCGGGTGATCTAGAAGATGGAGGGGCAGAGCCTGGAGGGGGAGTCAAGAGAGGCATCAACCTAGTGTCGCTGCATCGCCACAAACGAACTAAATCCAACCCCTCTTGAATTCTGTGCACCCTTATCTAACTCCTAGCCGGTGCTAACCATTAGTTGGGGAATATTCCTGTGTATAGTCATGAGTAGAAATACATCAATTTGATTGGGTCTTCACATGTGTGGATGTGATCTTTTGCACCTGATATTTATGTAGGAATATGGAGATTGCTCTGAAGAAAGTATCAGCAGCTATTACCATCTCTATCTCTTATACGTATATCTCTATATGAGGGGTCCTTGGGGCTCTCCAAACTTACTTGTTTTCTTGCAGACATTTCATTACCTAAATTAGGTAACATCATCAGTGCTGGTGATGTTACCAATTTGGGTAATGAAACATTTGCAAGAAAACAAGCAAATTCAGAGAGCACCAAGGAGCCCTCATATCAATCCTGAACTACAAATATTCTCCTTTATTGGCTCTATCTATCTATCTATCTATCTATCCATCCATCCATCCATCCATCTATCTATTATCTATCTGTCTGTCTGTCTGTCTGTCTGTCTGTCTGTCTATCTATTTATCATCTATCTATCTATCTATTATCTATCTATCATCTATCTATCTATCTATCCATCCATCTATCATCTATCTATCTATCTATCTATCTATCTATCTATCTATCTATCTATC